AAATACGCATAAAGTAAATGGAATATTGTGCCAAAAGACCACAAAATTCTGTAAAGGTACTGTAAATTGTAGAAGTTCAACTAGAACAAGCAAACGTCAACAACAGAAGTGCTCTACTTGGGCTACACAGAAGAGTGAGCTAGGTCAAGCCTCCACTATACAGTTCCTACATTATTGCTATATACTTGGATTAGGCAGTTGAGTAGTCAGGGAAAGGTTTCTAGGCAGTATATCTAGTCTATGCAGGGGACTTGCAAAAAGCCAAAGTTCTACTAGAATACAGAGTACTTCTAAAGCAGCACCCTAGAGACCTGAAGTCGAACTTCAAAGCTAATACAAAGTATTAGGACTGAATTAAGATTGTCCCCCGAAGTCACATCCCTCCCTTTGGTGTCAAACACCAGTAAATCACAGGAGCGCTAAAAAACCCCCAAAAAACTACCAGCGGAGCTAGCTCTCGATCGGGCAAGCCGCAAGGACACGGAGCTCCGACTGCGAGACTCACAATAAGCCTGAAAAAGTACACTTACCGTGGCACAAACTGCCCAAGGTAAAGCCAGAGGTGCTCTTCCAAAGATGGGGCGAAAGAATAAGAAGCCCCAGCTGGATCGGCCCAGATTCTGCGCTGATATAGGAGGCAAGGCCTGACATGGCAGCGAACCCCTGGGATTTCTCTGACACATCGGAGGATTACTCCCTTCACGACACGGAAGACCTGGTCTATAAAGGGCCACCCAAGCCCACTCAAACCACTGGAAGCATGTCACCCCCTGTCACCACAGTCATACTCACCAGCCTATTAACAGACCTCCATCGAAGCCTTTCTTCCGAGATCACACAGGTCAGAGAGGACGTCAAGGGGTTCACTGCACACCTGGACACAGTCGAGCAAACCACAACAGCCCACACATTACAAGTCCTAGAGCTGCAAAAGCAGGTCAGTGACCTCAGTTCGGCCCATGCAGCCCACAGGCATCAATTGGCCACACAGGAAATTAAAAGAAGGTGGAAACACATACAAATCAGAGGCCTAGCAGACAGCGTCACCACTGTGGAACTGCCTCATTTTCTGCGCAGACTGTTTGCGGCCCTACTGCCGCCCAAACAGGCAAAAGGCATAATGTTAGACAGGATGTTCCGCCTCAACCTCCATCAGCAGTGGCTTCAACCACCAGAGACCTAATTATAATATTTTTAAACGGCCAAAACAAGGCCGCCATCTTGATCGCAACCAGAGGAAAAACCCCATATCAGTTCGAAGAAATGGAACTTGCCTTTTACTCTGACCGATCCTGTGCGACACTGCAATGGAGAAAATCACAACACCCTCTCACTACACTTCTGTCGAATCAAAACGTTAAATATCGCTGGGGTACCCCTCACATTCTCATCATACAGCACGAGAACATGGAATAAAAAGTGTCTGATGCCTCCGAGATAGACGCCATCCTGACCAGACTTGGTCTGCTTCTACGACACAAGCCTAGGATCCCGCCACCATAACCCTATTTTACCAGCAACCAAGAACAAGACCACTGTGGCAGATACCTGATTGCAGCACCCTCTTTTTGTCTTTGTTTCAGTTTTTTCTGCCTTAATTACAAAATTTTGCTACCTCTACAAAGAAGGACTTGAGCGTCTTCAGAATATAAGTTTCCAAGTTTTATACATTTAGTTATGATTATTGAGGGTATAATCTACCAAGCTTTTGTGTAACCCCTGAGGCATTCCTGGGTCAAGTCCAGGAACCAACCGGCTATGCTAGCTCCCCTACTACTACAAACCCCCCTAGCTCCGCACACATAATTTCTCACTGTCCCCCAATACGTGGAGCTGTCATCTTAAATCACACTGCATCCCCTATTTTTAAGTCCATACTCCCCTCTTTTTTTAATTTTCTTTGTTAGGTTTGCTATTTCAGTCAGTGCGGTGCCCTTAAACTAAACCTACTGCTTGTGACAACTATACGAACTGCTTTGACACGGCTTTTTACTCTAATAAAAAATAAAAAACCCACAGTCAGTACAGTTAACATTACGATTGAATGTAAGTCATAACTCTTTGTGTTATTTCTCGACAATTGTATTACATGATATGATCATAATGTACCTGCCTGTGGCAAAAATAAAGAATTATAAAAAATAAAACAAAAGGAACACATTAGGTGGTTGGTAGTACTTATAATCCAAGTAACAAAAATAGCTAGACGTAGACGAGAGTCGTGCAAATAGAACTAAAAGGGGTTGGACCTTCTGTGTAGATAGACAGGGATAATGCACTTTTACAAACATACATGAACAGTCCTGCATTACATCCGGTGTTTTTAAAGCTGGCACATTGTAGGTGTTTCTTCTGCATAGTTGTAATGAGAGCTAACAGTGTAAATGTAGAAGATATCAGCAGCTGTATTTTTCATAGTGCTTTTATTCAGTTTTTGATGTTATCAACATAATTTTTGTTAAAATGCATGAAATTTTGAGAATAAGCTAACTTTTAATGGACAAATCTAGCAGTATTTATGTTGTTCTCTTTCTGTGATAAGCTACAATATAACTTTAGGTTAAGTCAACTCACAGAGTTTCGGGTTGCCTAAGTCGCATGTGCCGTGACCACAACAGCCAATATCACAAAAAGACTCCTTCCATCAAGACCACTTTAAATCATTGCTCATGGTGGTTGGAGTAACCCTTAAATGAAGGTTATAGAGTCACGTCAGCTATGCCTTTAAAAAGCAGGTCCTTTCAGGGCGGCCATCCTGGTATCGCAATAGCTGAGTTGCCATCTAACAATGCATGGCAAGTCTTTTTCACAACAAAGCATGTAACAATTTCCATTTCAGAGATCTAACCATGCACATTTATATTTCATGAAACCAGTGGTAATCCAAGCAGTGATTCTACTGCCAGGATACAATTTTTATTCCCAGGAAGTCATACACAACCTCATCAACTATATCCCTGGTTAACAGTTCACTGTTCAAATGCACAAACAGTGAACACCATAAACTCATTACAGCAAGTTAGCACATTGGGCTTCTATGCTAAATAAAATTTAAATGAAAAGTAAATTCCCAGAAGGATTTTCCATCATCTAATATCTTCAAATGGCTAATCACTACTACCTTAACAAGTATCTTCAATGCAATTTATATCTATAATTTTAAACTTATCACTAAAATATTAGCCAAAAGACTCCAACAATTCCATCGCTCTATCCCAAACAAGTAAGACTTAAAAGAGATAGACAATCAATACAGGATATAAGAACAGCAATTGCCAATTTATACCTCCATGACAATGCTTCTAATAAAAAATAAACTGTATTACCTAAGTTTACATGCACAGAGAGCCTTCGACCACGTATCTTGGCCACATAATTTTTCTTCTTTTTTAAATTCTTTATTTTTTGTGTGTGTAAAATCATGACAAATTAGCATGCAATGTCCCAACAGCATTAACAGGCACATGTGAAAGTACTGCAAAACAAATGGACAGCATTGTGATTTTATGGCACAATTACATTGCTATGATAGCATATCGATATAGCGCATCAGAGCCATTGATAATACATCATGAACAAAATTAATATTAATAATATGAATAGGCTGTCCGTAACTAAAATAATATAAGTATAACTAAGGTATAACTACCCTAAACATGCGCTCAGGATCTCTGAGGCTGCTGTAGCGTTCTAGGGGTGGCCAGCGTGGTTGCGGCCTCCCTATAGTGTGCATGTAAAATTCTTTATTTTTGGACAAAAGATTTGCCCAGCAGTTAAGAATAATTGCGTACAGTATAGCTGAAGTGTAGTGGCGTCACAAGGTATGGATGCCTAGTGTCCTGTTTTATGTAAATCTAACATATCAACTAAGTCTTAAGCTAAAAACTAGAAAAAGAATGATAAATTGCTGTGACTGGTGGAGTACTCTATTACCATAACCTGATGTGAGTGCTTTGTCTGCTTCAATATACTCGGGAGGAAATGATCTTTAACTCTGAGCCGAGGGGGGGTTGTATGTCATGAGCCCTTTTAAGGAATCGCTAATATTTCGTATGGTGTTAGCCATTAAATGGGTCTAATGGGACCTCCTTTTAGTACTTAGCCAGGACATGGGTGCTGTTAACCCTCTCCTGCCAGGAGAATGAATATTCTAGGTGAGCGTCTGTTGCAACAAAACAATTATAGCAATCAACTTTTAGTAATTTTTTACAATGTGGAATTTAAAGAGAGAGAAGACTTTTCCAACAGCCAAGTTCTTAGGCTCTCCTCTCCAGTCTTCAGGTGACCTGTGTGTTTCAACTTTCGTGTTGTGAGTTTGAGCTCACTGAGTCAGTCGGTGACGAAGTGGGGCCCATGCTGCTAATCCCAGTGCCAAGAGTACTGAGTCTGACTCCGATGCGTCAGTGATGCATAGAGTTTTGTCACCATGTGAAATAACCAGGCTCTGAGGGAAAGCCCATCGATATTGGATAGAGTGGTTGAGAAAAGTGGCAGTCAGGGGTTTGAATAGGCCTCTCCACATTAAATACAAAGAAACAAGTCCTGCGCTCAAACTCCCATCACTCCTGGGCGGCAGCAATGACTATAGTACACTTCAGCTAAAATACATATAGTAAAAACCAAAGAAAACCTGGAGGCATTTGTTTAAAGATGCATAAGGATGTGGAAAGAGTGCAGGTAACTTTTTTTTCTTTGGTCTCTCCACATCAAAGTTGGTTTAGAGAGGTCCTGGAAAAATGACAGGGTGGCATTTTCAAAGTGGTAGGAAGGTTGCGCCCTCACTGCTGTCAAAAAGGCTAATTTACCGATCGTGCCTGGAACTGCAGTATAACATCCCTTGGGCAGTCAGCTGGGGCTCTGGCTGCTTTCAGTGTGCAAAATACCCCACCTACTAGGGCTTGCTTGGCCTGTCTGGTGGGGAGTATTGTGGTGAATAGCCTTCTAATGTAGTGTACAAAAAGATGCAATACGTACAGGCACTCTTCTATCCTTAAACGGTACTGGGTATCAAGGTAGCCCACAATTGTTACCTTCAATATATATATATATATATATATATATATATATATATATATATTGAAGGTAACAATTGTGGGCTACCTTGATACATACACACACTAAAACATATGATACCGCACTCAAATATGTGGTTTTTCATGCAAAAAGTATTTAATTGACAATTTTCAGCAATGTATTTATTTAAATCAATATGGAATATACAATTATGGCAACGTATGATGTATAGCAAATATCTTATTGCATTTTACCTATATAATCACAACCAAGTAACACCTAAGTGATATACCTAAACACCACAAGTTTAAAAAAAGGACCCCAATCAGATCTGACACTGTATCAGTAGAAATGGTGTAAATACACACTAAATGGATGAGAGCCCAATGTGTAATCTACAATGGTTATCTATTTGGCAGAAAAATGTTTGCAAAATATGAAAAAATAAATAAATAAAATTCAAAAAATAAAATTCAAAAGATAATGGCAAAATGTGAAAAAAAATTATATACAGTCCCAGTGTGCACACACTAAAAATAGCAAAGAAATATGTATCAACTGGTGGATGGCTTTGGATGGATCTCACCACTCTTGCTGTTGAAGAAAGTCCTGGATGAACTGCAGTTTGGTAAGTGTAATGGCTTAATCAAGACTATAGGTGAGTAGCCTTTTCTTCATATGCAGATCCTAGTAGTTCCTTCTCAGTTGGCTTGGCTGTGTGGTAGATGAAGTGCCTTAAGATGACCTTAAGTTCTCCTGCAAAATGTCTTGATAAACTTGGGAATTCATTTTTCCTTTGATGATAGCCATCTGTCCAGGCCCTGACGCAGCAAAGCAGCCCCAAACCATGATGCCCCCACCACCATACTTCACAGTTGGGATGAGGTTTTGATGTTGGTGTGCTGTGCCTTTTTTTCACCACACATAGTGTTGTGTGTTTCTTCCAAAAAACTCAACTTTGGTTTCATCTGTCCACAAAATATTTTGCCAGTACTGCTGTGGAACATCCAGGTGCTCTTGTGCAAACTGTAAACGTGCAGCAATGTTTTGTTTGGACAGCAGTGGCTTCCCCTGTGGTATCCTCCCATGAAATCCATTCTTGTTTAGTGTTTTACGTATTGTAGATTCGCTAACAGGGATGTTAGCATTTGCCAGTGACTTTTGTAAGTCTTTAGGTGACACTCTAGGATTCTTCTTCACCTCATTGAGCAGTCTGCGCTGTGCTCTTGCAGTCATCTTTACAGGACTGCCACTCCTAGGGAGAGTAGCAGCAGTGCTGAACTGTCTCCATTTATAGACAATATGTCTTACTGTGGACTGATGAACAGCAAGGCTTTTGGAGATACTTTTATAACCCTTTCCAGTTTTATGCAAGTCAACAATTCTTAATCGTAGGTCTTCTGAGGGCTCTTTTGTGCGAGGCATCATTCACATCAGGCAATATTTCTTGTGAAAAGCAAACCCAGAACTGGTGTGTGTTTTTATAGGGCAGGGCAGGTGTAACCAACACCTCCAATCTCATCTCATTGATTGGACTCAAGTTGGCTGACATCTCACTCCAATTAGCTCTTGGAGATGTCATTAGTCTAGGGGTTCACATACTTTTTCCACCTGCACTGTCAATATTTACATGGTGTGTTCAATAAAAACATGGCAACATTTCATTCTTTGTGTGTTATTAGTTTAAGCAGACTGTGATTGTCTATTGTTATGATCAGATCACATTTTATGACCAATTTGTGCAGAAATCCATATCATTCCAAAGGGTTCGCATACTTTTTCTTGCAACTGTAAGTATATCCCTAACAAAATAATACAAAGTTCGTTATCCCAGCACCAATGTAAAACAAACATGCATTAAAGGACAACTGCAAGTCTTTGTGTTTTGATTTTTTAGCAGAAGTAAATCATTGAGACATTTTTTCACAAACTGTTGTTCCACTGTTTTCCTGCAGAGAGTTGTGGCCAGAAACTTGCTAAAGGGCTATGAACAGTTCGACCTCAGTATAAACGCAAGGCTCTGCAGAGGGGATTACATTTATATCATTTCCTAATGCTTAGAGTTAATATTCCCAAAACAGTTTAAATTAAAGATTTCCTCTAAGTATTAAACATGAGGTTAAGTATTTCCATTTTATGGCCCGACTGTACTTATGTGCTTTCAGTAAGTGTCAGCCAGCATGATTTTCCTATGTGTGCCACTTAGGGCCCTTGCACAATCCCCCTATTGTATATGTGCAGTGTGGCCATTTAGATGATATGTTTATGATGTCAAAAACAACATTTATATCCGTTCTTCTTGCATGTCTCTATCCCTTAAGAGAAATAAATTACAGATGTGAGCAAACATGTATACAACTGTGGCACTGAAACAAATTTCACGCTGTTGGCCAAGTGGAGTTCAGAAAGAAAGGAATCTGAATTAGGGGCCAAAATATGAATGAGTGATGGGAAGAAATCTGGGATGCACTTCAGGCAAACTTGAGTAACACAGGAAGCATCATAGTCTGGGCAGAAAACCTCCTACACAAATGGCTTCTGGCTTCACTTCAATCAGAAATGTGAAACAATTCTCTGATTAGCACATACTGGGACCATTCTATATGTTTCGCCTACTGTTTGGTTACTGAGCGAACGCATGTCTGAAACAGCCCACTGCAGTCCCACCAAACACACAATGTGACACATCAATTCTACAAGCAGCCCTCATACACTGCCCACATTCATAGGTATTATACACGATACCACAAACTACTTGTGAACATATACAACATAACAGCTCATATACGCACAAATACAACAATACAAAACAACTGCAGTATAAATAACAAGCACGACAACACACACACACCTCAATTTAAAAATACAGGACTGGAACGCTACTGGACATCACAATCTTATTTCTGTACAGTGCTGCTAAAAGGTTGCCTACCCCTGATGTAGAAGAACAAATATAGTTTTGTAACATACAGTGGTTGTGCAAAAAACAAACATACAAATAATGCATAATCCCAAAATGGTAACAGAATGCATATCTGTGCATGATCCTATACAATGCACTAGACTGAAACAAATTATGTGATTTTTAGCACAACTATCTACAATACAGGAATACTGACCAGTACTGTGGCTAAGAAATGTGTTTCTTTGCAGTGTGAATAATAGTTATGGAGCAGTGCTGAGGGTAAGTAAAGTCACTAGTAATAATTGTTTTGAATTGCAAAAACCATAACTTATAATGTAGCATTGGTAGTATAAGGACTAAGCAGTATCTGATTATTATTTTTAGCATCAATGTATATTGAAAAGCAGAGTTTACAAATGTGATAAAGGCCACTGACAAAGTCAGTCAGCCTAAGAAGACAAGGAATCTGTTTTTTTGTTTTTTTTGTGTTTTTTCAATAATGGATTATCAGGTCAGTTGTAAGCAAATGTTATTTTATATTTTACATGTAAGATATGTATGACTTATTGCAGGCATTAGGTGATCAGAGGATTGGGCAATTCTTATTGTATGGGTGGAAGCACAGACATGAAAACTGGGTTTTGGAAACGCATTAGACAGATAGGAAAACATGCCAGGATTGGAGATAACTTTTACACTGCTGAAATGTTTTACTGTGGGTTTTACCTTATTTTCAGCATAAGCAAGCCAGCGGCATCCAAGGGCAATAGGATTCATGTTTGGCCCAGGACAGGGATAGCAGCCTGAAGAAAAAAATATCAACAGTAAGACACAGTATTTGACTCTAACAAGCCAAACAAACAAAAACTCTAAACAAAGATCTCAACTTCTAAACATTCATCAAGAAATGCTTATATTTCTCAGAGTTCTACAAGATAAGAGTAAGACATTGCAGTAACAGTTAATTAAGCTTGAAAAGCATTTTCTTGTTCATTGTTTTTCTATTTGTGGTGTTTTTCTTAATATATAAACTCAGTTTTATTTGGGAATGTTTTGAAACATGTAGGGCACGTCTTTCAAATCCCAGTAAAATGTTAGCACTCTGAAATTAAATCAAGCCTTGAATTCTAAATATTTGTTTTCCCTAAGCTATAAATCCACCATATTTACTTTTACCCTTCAGGATTAATTTAGCATATCATTGGTGGGTTAAAGTGGCTTTGGGAATCTGCTTGCGTTCTATCTTTCTAATTTTGGCTGCAATGCAGTGCACCGGGTCACCAAATGATCTGATGCTCTCGTGATAAGTTATCTAGACATCCAAGGGAGTTTATTCACTAAACAGTGATTTGTCAGAGCTAAACAAACCTTGAAACTGCAGGCCAGCTCAGTGTAACTTTTCCACTTTTTGTCCAGTAACTACAAGTTGTGTCTAGTTTAAAGTAGAAATGTAAATTTCAATACTTATTTAAAGGACCACTCTAGGCACCCAGACCACTTCAGCTTAATGAAGTGGTCTGGGTGCCAGGTCCAGCTAGGGTTAACCCATTTTTTCATAAACATAGCAGTTTCAGAGAAACTGCTATGTTTATGAATGGGTTAAGCCTTCCCCTATTTCCTCTAGTGGCTGCTTCTCACTGTGATTTTCACAGCATTATGAATGCTTTCCTATGTGACCGGCTGAATGCGCGCGCAGCTCTTGCCACGCGTGCGCATTCAGCCGCATGGGAGGAGAAGAGGAAGATCGGAGGAGGAGAGCTTCCCGCCCAGCGCTGGAAAAAGGTAAGTTTTAACCCCTTTCCCCCTTCCAGAGCCAGGCGGGAGGGGGTCCCTGAGGGTGGGGGCACCCTCAGGGCACTATAGTGCCAGGAAAATGAGTATGTTTTCCTGGCACTATAGTGGTCCTTTAAAAATTCAATAGGTAACTAAACGTTGTTCTAGGATGCTAATTCTTTGAAAGAAACAAAACAAAACAAAAAAAAGTAAATCAAGACACAGCAGAACATATACTGGGTATTTTACTAAAGTGAGAATAAAAAAGTACATTTCAAATTTGAGATCTAGCTGAACTGGAAATATTCTCTAACTCGTCAATGCTTCCAGCTTAGTAACTTTGGCCTTCAATTTGAAATTCACGTTGAATTCTCATTTTAGTGAAAATTTTAATTACTTTGACCTTCATAATGCACCATAAAGTATATGGAAAGAAGGCACATGATCACAGTTTGGAAACAGATGCTGACGCATGAGTAAGAAGATGTCAGAACCCAGAAGTGCTGCACAGTAAGCTTGATACCTTCACGACACTATATAAAAATGCCCAGTTTAATTGAATTTTGTCACATGTATATGTACACATAATGCAAAACAACTCTAGTCAAAGTTGCATATTAATAGTGGGTCTTAACTTAAAGGGATCCTATAGTGCCGGGAAAAAAAAAAACCTGTTTTACTGGCAGTATAGAGTTAATAGCCCCCCCCCCCCCCACCGCTGGGCTGAAGGTGTTAAAACCCCTTAAGTCACTTACCTTAATCCAGCGCCAGGCTCCCTTGGCGATGTTGACCTCTCCTCCCCCTGCAGACGTCAGCTCCCAAGTGGAGTCGAATGCGCATGTGCGGCCATAGGCTCCCGCGCATTCAAATCCGCCCACAGGGGATCAGAAATGACGCTGGACGTCCTCACGATTTTCACTGAGAATCGTGGAAGCGGTCTGTAGGGGCTGTCAGGGAGACAGCCACTAGAGTTTGGATTAATCCTGCAATGCTGTTCAGCTGCAGGGTTAAAACTAGGGGTACCTGGCACCCAGACCAATTTATTGAGTTGAAGTGTTCTGGGTGCCTATAGTGTTCCTTTATTCTATACACAAAAACTGCTTAATTGAGCTAAAGTTGTTTTGGTGCCTGCAGAATCCCTTTAACCCCTAAAGGACCAAACTTCTGGAATAAAAGGGAATCATGACATGTCACACGTCATGTGTCCTTAAAGGGACACTGTAGTCACTATAAGCATTTCATCTCTTTGAATTGGTTATAGTGCCAGGAGTGCCCTGCCATTGTCCCTCCATTCAGTGTTGAACCATGTTCGTGCAGTATGCCACAAAAAAAAAAGAGTCTCTGGCCACCCACAGTCCGGCCCCTTCAGTAAGTGTAGCTAAGGCAGAGATTACACACTTCCTTGTTGTCATACCCATTCATACTGTCAGTTGGAACTCTGACAGGCTAAAAGCAGTCAGCTGACACTCTCAGCCAATCACAGCTGCCCATTGCTGCTCAGGCTAATACTTCCTTATTAGAAAAAGCAGCACAGAGGGGATGGATTGCCAGGGACTCTTGTTTAGCATTAAAACATTAAAAACTGTTTAATGCTGATAGAATTGATGGGACCAGAGGACTCCAGACACTATAACCAGTTTAATGAGATGAAGCAGATACAGTGCCTACGGTGTCCCTTTAAGGGGTTAAATTCTAATAAGAGGTATTTGTTCTTGATGGTTATGGGGTATGCTTGAAGACACATTCCCTCTTTTAATTCACATTCTCTCATTACGTCCACGCACAACAAGTGTCGTCATTACACATTTTTGGAGCGTACACTCTAGGTTGCTGATATACATTGATACTGTTTTGGCTAACACAATACAATGTTTACATTTTTCATTTTATGAAGTGACACATTTTTAACAAGGCAATTAAACAGTCTATGAGCAAGCCCATTACTTAGCATGAAATGCAACATGCTTCGCTACCTTTGCTTTTAAGTTCTGTGCTTTAATGAATTCACTCAAGTTTATATTTTTGGTTAACTTTTGTTTTATGTACCATATTCTATTGTTAAAATGTACTTGATTCTTTATGGAAGTTTGAGTTAGTTCTTATCTGTTGATTCTTACTTTACTGCAGCTATGCTGTGTTTTTTGCTAATAAGTTGGATGGCATCTCATTGTGTAAGCACAAGTAGATCTATCTATATGTGTTGTGTTATCTTCCCTGGGACTTTTGCCAGCAGTTAAAAACTAAAAGGTGATATTGCAAGGAGTAAAGTATACGGAAGTTGATATATATATATATATATACTTACACTGAACAAAATTATAGATGCAACACTTTTGTTTTGCCCCCATTTTTCATGTGCTGAACTCAAAGACACTGGCGTACATACCAGGGTCGCAGGGGTCGCGACTGCGACCGGGCCCGGCCCACCAGGGGGCCCGGCCGCCCCTGCGACCCGGTATGTACGCCCAGGGCCAGCCTCTTCCCCTGGGGGGCCCAGGAGCCGACCATCCCAGGGCCCCCCTGAGGCTGGCCCTGCTGACCCCGGGTGGCCGGTCGGGCAGGCAGGGAGGCGGGCGCGCGAGGGAGCACTCAGTGCTTCCTCTTCAGCTCCCTCGCGCACCGCAATGATACCGGAGCCGGAAGATGACGTCATCTTCCGGCGCCGGCATCCCTACGCGGCGCGCGAGGGAGCTGAAGAGGAAGCCCTGAGTGCTCCCTCGCGCGCCCGCCTGCCTGCCCGACCGGCCACCCGCCCAGGAGCCCCACTGGACCCCAGGGAATAATCCTCCCCAGCACTCCAAAAGGTAAGGAGGCTGGGGGGATTATATATATAAAAAAAAAATCATGTGTGAGTGTTAGAGTGAGTGTTAGTGTGTGTGTGAGTGTTAGTGTGTGTGTCAGTGTTAGTGTGAGTGTTAGTGTGTGTGTCTGCTAGTGAGTGTTAGTGTGTTACTGTGTGTGTCTTACTGAGTGTGTGTGTTAGTGAGTCTGTTTGATGTCTGTTAGTGAGTGTGTGTTTGTCAATGAGAGTGTATGTTTTGTAAGTGAGTGTGTATGAATGTCTGTCGCTGACTGTATCTCTGTCAGTAAATGTGTGTGTCTGTTAGCTAGTGTGTATGCGTCTGTAAGTGAGAGTGTGTGTGTCTTCAGCACTTACCTTTCTCCAGCGCTGGACTCCCTTGGCGCTGAGGATCCCTCAGCCTCTCAGCTCCGAATGCGACCGCGCACGCATTCAAACCGCCCATAG